TATAGGAATCATATAAAAGAATACATATGAATTTGAGTCATTTTTCAAATTTCAGAAATAAAATTTTAGTATGTCCAGATTATTGAAGTTACATTGGTTTTTATGAAATAGTAATCCCAATTTTATGTGACTGTTGCTTTTTGTTCCAATATCATTCAAGTTCGTATTTGTACATCACTTTAATTTATGTGGTTATTTCAGCTAGCAATGAAACAATGGATATGCGATGTAAAGGATATAATCTTTATTATCTTTAACATTTGTGTGCCTAAATCAATGCATCAGTTTCCATTTTTGTTTATGGTTAAGTATTGCTGAGGGTGAAAGCCAGCTGGACAGGATGAGACCCATACACACTCTTGTGTCATTATAGTAGCTGTCACTTTCACCTTCATAAATAGTATTTGAAATAGTGTTGAGGTTATTTTATTATGAGTAATACAGGCATTCTATATGGAGTCCTGGAGTCCTGGTGTGGCGCTGTGGTTTAATGCGCCAGACTGCAAAGCCGTCTGAACTGCAAGGTCAGCGATTCAAGCTCACCAGCTGCTCCTCGAAAACCCTGTACAGGGTCTCTATGGGTCAGAATCAACTCAATGGCACTTAACAACAACATATGAAATCCTGGTGTGGTGCTGTGGCTTAATGCGCTGAACTGCAAAGTCAGTTTGAACTGCAAGGTCGGCAGTTCAAGCTCACCGGCCGCTCCTCAGAAACCCTATTGGTCGGAACAGACTCGACAGCACTTAACAGCATTCTAGATGTAAAGAAAATCCATATTTACTATAATACCTAAAGTTTGTAGTTTTGAAAATAATAATCATCTTAAGAAAATATTAAAAATACATGACACTTTAAAAAAAAATTAGCCAGTGTTCAGTGAAAAAAAAAAAAGTCAAGATATTTTGTTGCTCTTGTGAAAGGATGTTTAAAATGTGTCCTTTTGTAAGACAAAGGAATGGAAATTTCCAGTGTTAATTTAAATAACTATTAAAAGCAACAATAAAGACAAGACTATAAAATAGAAAAAGATACTTTATCACAATAATTTTATCTTGCCAGCTCTTTTGAAACTCATACTATGAAATATAATAATTTCGCATGGTGAGACCATACTAATATGTTTTCATTTTACTTAGATCATCTTTTTTAATTTTAATGCTTTCATTTTGCTTGTTTCTGAATAGAAATCGATTAGGGCAACATTAGAAATGTCCCACATCTTTATGGAGGAAAGTCTTCCAGATGTTGTGCAACAAGAGTCATAGAAAGAAGAAAATATCTTCGTCAGTGATATGAAGGGTTGCTTTCGATTCTTAATATAGGGTGTTTGCTTGCAGCATTTAGAATTCGTGTGATTTTTATGTTTAGCATGTTTTTATAATTATCACTAATAACCAAAAACCAAAACCCAACCAACTGCTATCAAGTTTATTCTGATTCACAGAGGTACTATAAAGCAGAGCAAACTTGCTCCAAAAGGTTTCTGAGACTGTAAATCTTTAAAGGAGCAGATAACCTCATTTTGTTTCTCCAGGAGCAGCTGATGGGTTTGAACCACCAACCTTGTAGTTAGCAGCTCAACTGCAAGGTCATTGACTAACCCATAGTGCCACAGAACTCCTTACCACATAGTAAGAAATCTGAAATTGACCTCAGTCACAGTCTTGAAGCCTAGCATTAGTTTCCTATTAACATTTAGAATAAACCACTTGTTGTCTCAAAAAATATAGGAGCTACTCTACGTACCTCTAAATGAAGTGGCTGATCAGAACATACATCAATAGGAAAGGTAGAGATGAACCATTTAGGAATTCTAATGTATAGGTTTGAAAAAAAAAAAAGTTTATAATGCAGGGAAATCAAAGCAAGAGGATAATAAAATTCCCCAGCAAATAGAAATGGCTTTCTTCAGGTTGTTCAGGATTGTTCTTCCATTTGATAACCAGAACCTGAATTCCTGCATTTGAGCTTCTGAGATAGACAAGAAACAACTCTGATGCCTGAGTTACTGAAGGCTTCTTGTTTGCTTTGTGAACCTGTCTTCAGAAAACACCGCAATTGATGATTGTAGAGTTAGTAAAGGGCTAAGCATTCATTATGTATAAATACCATTAAGTTATAGTTTACTTGAAGGTCAAAGATAATGGTTGGTCCAAGACACTCAACATTTTCCCATGTACTTGGATTAAGAAAAAAAAAAAAAAAAAAAAAGTTGATGGCATGAGTAGGAAATCAGTAACACTGAATCTGTAAAATATTTTTTCTTTAAAAATGGCTTTGTCTTAAAGTAATTTATTCTTCCACAAATTATCTGGTCCGTGTGTATTTCTCTTGTTAGGAAATGAATAACTATATATAGTATGTGTTTAGTATATTTTTCAAAACCTTCTATGGAATGCTTACTTCATCTTGTACCTACTTTCTGAGAATGGGAAAATGTTGTACATTCTCTAAATAGTAGATAAATGACTGCTTTTTCCAAGGCTCCTAAACAGTTGCAGATGCTACTTTAGATTTCATGGGTATGATGAAAGTTTTGTTACAGTGTTAAGATTTATCTTCACTACACATAAAAGGAAAATGAAAGTAGGGATCCCTATGTTTAGTTATGAAGGATACAAAATCTGGAAGAGAGACCTCCTTACTTTTAAAAGTAAATATATGATCAGAACTCGACTAGAAGATAAAATATTTTTTTTGATGAAGAAAGCAATTGTAAATTGCTATAATTTGATGAACTTGACTTATAATTATGAATGTAGTAGCTCAAACTATCAACTGAGAGAGAAGGAGTCTTCACAACAAGGATTAATCCTATCACCTCTGTATACAATGTTGATAAGGATGGGCAACTTAGACATTGGCTACCTAGTATGTTGTTGTTGTTAAGTGCCATCAAGTCGGTTCCAACCCATAGCAACCCTGAATAGGGTTTCCAAGGAGTGACCAGTGTGCTCGACCTTGTAGTTCACACGGCTTTGTAGTCTGTCACATTAACCCACAATTGCCACACCAGGACTCCTAATATGGCAGGGCTATAAAAGGCACAAAGTTACTGTCTTACAAGTTTTCAAAAAGGAGTTTAGTTTCAGAGTATGTGGGGGAAGGTAGAAGCCCCAATAAATAGTTTTCATCTTGTTTAGACAGGGTTGGTGAAAGGAGATGGGGAAAATATTCTTATGATTCAGTAGTAATTCATGACTAATTGCGACTGTCACAATTGTAAAGGTAGAAGTTTTGTAACAAAAAGCGGGGAGTAGTTAATATTACATTCCAGAAACAGAGGACCCTAGGACCATCAAGGGAGAAGAGCATGAGTGGAATATGGGACACTATCCAGACAAGCAGCAACATCAGAGATGGAAGCAGAGTTGAGGACATGGAAAGAGAGAGCAGTTGAGGACTCTCGACTCATGGAAAGAGAAAGGCTGTGTGCAGGCTTGCAAAATGTGCTCTTTGGTTGTTTAAATGATTGTATATTCCTGAATGTTTTTATGTACATCCCGTCCTCTCTTCCCCCACCAAAAAAACCCCAGAGGGAATAGAAGCAAATACTGTTGAATGATGACACACAGAGGAGATAGTAATCATTGCAATGAAATGAGTGTAAAATCGATGCTTTCCTATGTATACTATCACCCAATTCACAATAAAAACTTTATATATAACATTAACTAGAAAATGTGCATTACCATTAACGATCAACTCTTTAAGTAGAACTATGCAGATTGGTGTTGAAGGTGAATTTTAAGCCATAAACCGTAGTATAATTTTTTTGATTATGGAAATAAATAACACATTGACACATGAAATAATTACCAGAATGATATTCAAATAAAAATTGGTTTGATGAAATTGTCATTATGATCCAAGTGTAAATATATAATTTTTTATGTCAAATGTAAGCAATAGAGTCTGTGTGGTTTGCCTATTTGATAGGTAACTGGTGCTGATTTCATAGATACAGTATGAGTACCAACCACTGGTCACTGTTTCTCTGTATTTCCTTCAGATCAGGATACATGTTCCTTATTGTCCTACCTTCAAAAGCTAAAGAAGGTGTCAATAAGACAAGTACTATTATTAACAATGGGGTACAAGCTTCCAGGGAAGATGAAGTGATGAGAACTAAATATGTTCACAGGTTCAATTTCCTAAGGAATATTCTCAATATTTAGGTAGTGGATTTTTTTTGGCCAATTCCATAAATATATTTTTATTTTCTTGTTGTTTGGAACATTCATTCTTAAAACTCTCCAGTGGCAGACAGAGAGCAAAAATAATGTTCAAGTGAGATCAGTTTAAATAGAATTATACAGTATTTCATGGATAAAGTTGAAAGGATTTTTTTTTTTTTTTTTTGTATTTCAGTTTATCTCAATTATGCGCTTATGCACTATCTCTAGTTTCAATGAGTGTAAAATTGGGGGATTAACCGCTAATAGAGAGTTTGAGAAACATGTCTGTATTCTATGTAGGATACTTACTTTAGTGCAATACTGACCTTTCACTCATTACTTCAGTGTGCAGACATTTTGCTGAGAATTTGATGTAGTATCGATTTGAGTATTATTGAATATATCTGCGCAAAAGGGCATAGTGCTTCCAATTGTAGTTTGAATAATCTCTGTTAAAATTTAAAGTTATGCAATTCTAAATACTTGGAACATTTGAGGTAATTATTTCTCACAAGTAAAATAACAAATAAAGTTGTATAAATAGCTTCAAATTTTTCCTGTAATTTAAATTTATCAACTACCTCTTTGATAACTTAAGAATGTACTCATACTTTTGCCAAAAAAGAATTTTTAAAAATTTTTAGTATTACCTCTAATATATAGGACTTCAGACTGTTTTTATTTTTTCCCTAGCTACAAGTGCATGTTACAGTTTGGCATTGTGGTACATTTCATGAAGGTTCTTGTTCTATCTGCTTTCTTGAAACTTGGGAAACAGTATTTTTCTGAGTGATTGTACCGTATTGTTCCAAATATAAGGCCCCACAGAATAGAAGGCAACCTCCAACTAGAGACAGCTCAAATATGGAGAAAGGCTGGGGGCCCAGAGCCCGGCGGGTCTTGCAGTGGTGGCAAGGGTGCCGAGGAATAGGACGATGCCTGCCCACTCTCCCGGTGAGTGAAGACAAGTCAGTTGGCTGCATTTGCTTGTGCATAGCCAGATGGCTTCTGTTGCTAGAGGAAAAGTTATATTGGGGTAGTAGAGAGCACTTCCATATACACTGAAAGAAAGTTGCTTGATGTTTGTATCTGGGGAGGGTGGATGGGAGAAATCTTTCACCTAGTAATCAATCTGTTTCAGTGTTCCATTTCTGAAACTGAAGGTGAAAGTGGAGTGACATCTGAAAAGAACAAAAGGTACCCAGGAGATTCAAAGGCCATTGGCCTTAAAAATGAATTGTTAACACCAACATATGTCTCTGGGCCAGTCCAGAAAATCATTCCTTGCTCTTTCAAATTGACTGCTGCCTGCAATGTGGTCCATTCACTGTGGCTTGAAACCAAGCAACTCTGAGGTTGGGAATGGCATTTCCAATTTTTTAAAGATTTTTTTTTTTAAAGTCTCTTTCTCCTGAGCCAGCCAAATACAATTTAAATAAATGGGTTTAATCTTACTGAAGTAAATTTAAGGGACTATTTAAAATTGTTCTACTGGCAATAGCATATGTTTACAAAGAGTTCAGTGAAAATGTATCCATAAACAGAAAATATTTAGGATTGAGTCTAGATACTTTTCTAAATATGGGTATAATTTTGCTAAGCACATAGATTTCTAACTTTTATTTTTTAGTAACTTATTTGGATGTTATATAATGAGATATCTGATTCTGATATAGTACAGAAAATTATTTAGTGCCTATTGGTGTGTTGTTATATAACGTTACCAGGCCTTTTGTTACCTTTGTAGCTTCACAAACCCACATAAAACATGAACCTTGATCTTGTTGGTTACTACTCAGTGTTTCTCAATGTTAATTCGAAGTACACCTTTTTTACCTGAGTGATAAGTTAGTTTCCCCCAACTCTCTACTCTAGAAAAGGTGGAATTACAGTCTAAAAAACAAAAAAAAATTCTCTAGGAGTTTCTTTTAATAAAATATGTATGTTTTGTTTTATAAACAGATTTGGACAGAAATGGTTTCTCCTTAACTTAAAGCAGTGCTAAATTGTCCAAAGGGTTTGGCAAAGGTGGACATTGGCTACTGATTTTAACAGTTCCTTTAAAAACAAGATTCCTGAGGCCGGAAACCCAAGCAAAAGCATGCTAGTTATGATATATGTTTTACGAGCTCTTTGAAAAACTAGATTTGGGCAGAAAAGGGTTTGGAAGTAAGAACTGGAGGAGGATAGCCCACAAGGAAAGTATTGTTTCTCTGCTTAATTTGATCACCAGTCAGGGAAATGATGGCACTGCAGCAGTGGGTCCCAGTGAGAGGTTTGAAGTGAACTGTGCATGATCTCAGATGCCTTCAAAAGAGTTCATATAGGTGATCCCATAGGGAAGGGAAAGGGAACAGGAGAGGACCAAAGCCATTCAGGGAGAAGTGCAGTTGTTGTTAAGTGCTATCCAGTTGGTTCTGACTCATAGAAACCCTGTGTAGGGCTTCCCAGGAGCAGCTGGTAGCTTTAAACTACCGACCTTTCCGCTAGCAGTCCAGCATTTATCTTACAGTGCCACACCAGGAGGTTCGTTTATAACACCTTAGTTTGGGAATCATGTAATCTCAACTGAGTGAAAGGATGCCAACAATTTTGTGGAGGTAGGGGTATTATTGTACCCCTTAAACATCATTAAACTTAGTGCCATTTTTAGTGGTATTATAGGTAGCAGGTTGTTTAATTTGAACTGAGCTAAAAATACAGAATCCCAAATTTTAAAAAGTAATTATGCGGAATGGAGTGGGGCTGTTATAAGTGGCAGCCCTGTGTTGTCTTCTGCTATTAATTTAATTATCAATCGCAATGGAGGAGAAGATGTGTAGAAGTCATTAAAATGCTATATCCCACTACTGACTCTCTCTGTTGGCCAGTGAGGATAGGGGCAGGACCTGATTCCATTGCACAACCTTTTGAGCAAGGAAAAGAGTATGGCTTTAGTAGCCTTGTGAGGTGGCAAGCGTAGCCTTTCAGAACACAGGAAGAAATGACAATGACTAGAGGAGGGAGAAAATATTTTAAATTGGATTAATAATAAGTTTTTAAAAAATAAATGGGAAATAGTTTCTTTACAAATAGCTTGATTTACATATAGCTCATACCTGTAACTCTTGCTGTTCACAATTTCTGCCTCCCTTTTCTAACACAGAAGTTCTCTTGTAGATGTTGGGAAAATAAAGGTCTTGATCCTGCCTTTGGAGTCCTGGTGTGGCGCTGTAGGTTCATGTGCCAGAGTGCAAAGCCATTTGAACTGCAAGGACAGCAGTTCAAGCTCACCAGCCGCTCCTCTGAAATCCTATACAGGGTCACTATGGGTCAGAATTGACTCAGTGGCACTTAACAACAACCACAACAATTCTGCCTTTATGAACTCATACCTGATGCACCTTTAGTGAGTCCTAGTCAAGGAATGAGATTCTAGGAACAATTTCAATGGAGCAGTTACTAGTGTATTAATGTTGTCCCAGGCATGTAAAAACAAACAAACAAAATGCAATTGTAGATTTGTTGCTGAGCCGAAATTAAAATTTTTCAGACCCTCTAGGAATGCAATGATTTCTATGAAAATGGCTTTGGAAAACTCACTTGGACTGCTCTTTCTTAGAGGTAGATAACTGCTGCTCTCTTATTCTTTGCTGATTTGTTAGTCTTTCCTCAAACAGTGCCTAGATAAAGTTGAGACCCCAGAGGGAACCTGTCCAATGCCAGGATGTGTAGGTGTTGTCTTTATAGGTCCTACTAATGTTACCCAGACTTGGATTGCTTAGTAATTAAGTTGCAAAGTCACAAAACTACAAATATGTAATTTGTGACTTATTTTGTTTTCAGTTTTGAAGAGATAAGAAAAGGCTTTTTAGAAGTAAAACATTGTGTTTTATTAAATATCTTTAGAAAATATGCCAACATACCCCATTGTATATCTTGCCCTCTAAGAAGAGTTTAATAAGAAATACAGTTGCTCCAATGCAGGAATGTGATGTGTCTGCATTTTCTGAGACATATGGAATATGGCATTTGCTTGCTGAGTGAGCATGTTTAACTCAGCTATAGAATAGCTCATGAATTCTCTATTCTTGAGTATTAAAATGTTTCAAAAATCATTCTTGATATGCTTTTAATGGCCATTCTCTGGGGGACATTGCTCTCTGGTAAATGAAAGATGACATTTGGACACGCATAGAGAGTCAAGTTTTCTTGCTTGTCATGTGAGCAGCAAGTGCATTCCAATTAACCAAAAATAGCATCTTAGGAGAGATCATCTTAGAAAAACATCAGTAAAATGGCTAATTCTCATTTGGCAGTGAAATTGAATATTGAATGACATCTATGTAGTTATTAACGACTTTTGTTTTAATAACAAAGTTGTTGATTTTCTACTAAGGGTTCTTTTAGGTTGTCATCAGGGGCTGATGGGAGTAACAGTTCAGCCAACTCTCCAGCTAGCTTCAGTGGACATACCACACCTTCTCAACAGCCTGAACCCGTGGTACATTCTCTTAAGGTAACCAACTGTGTACAACCATTTATTTGAGACTTCAGTTGTGTTGTGGCTTGTTCACTGTAATCTGGTAGTCCTTACAGTATTGCTTTAATCATAGATTTTCTTTCTTTTTATCTCTTATGATGCAAATTTTGTATCTTATTTTTTGATATGTAATTTTAATTGTTTTTGAAGCAAATATGAGCTTTGAGTACTTAAGGTTGGAACTTCGATTTCATCATTTTGTTTGAGTACTGTGATTCATATCTCTCTGCATCGAAGTTGAAGTCTGATGTGCATGTGTATCCATGTATGTAAAATATTGTTATAGGTATTTCATGTGCAATGTTTGTAGCATGGATGTCTTCAAATATAGGAAGTTAATAGTTGGCCACAATAAGGGAGGATTCCATGTTAATTTTATTTTGTGATGTAAATATTGTGCTATGTGCAACTTACTAAAGAAAATACTGAAATCAATCAATGCCTACTCCTTATCCCCAAATAGAAATTAGATGTTAAAATTCCAGTTAATGTTCATTCATAGATTATTAGAAGATCAGTATGTGGTTTTATACAGAAAGCTGATTTACTTTTACTTTTACTTCAGATTTTTCAGTAACTAAACAAGTAAATAATAAACAACATTGACAAAATTGAAAATAATTAAACAATAAAAGTATTTATTTAAGAAAAGAAACTGACTAGGCAATAAAAACCATACTTAAAATTTTGATAGTTCATTGACATTTTATCAATTCCACAATATAAACTAGCGTCCTGGATGTATCTCATAATTCCTAACAAGTTGCCTTGAATAAACCTTTCTTATCCATAAAGTAGGTAAAGTATTTCCATCCTGCTTTTACCACATGACTTTGAAAACTGTTCTTAATATTGTTTTAGTTTCAGAATGATTTATTATCAGAAAGAAGATATAATAATATTTCTGTGGCATGCTTAATGTAGTTAAGTAAGTAAGAACTTCTAAATGTTTATTTAATTTTGAAATGATTTCATTTTAGCATAAGATTTAGCTTCCTGATTGTGTTTTCTTTAGTTTATATTGAAATGAGTATGCTTCACCCAAATATATACTTATTGGGGATGAAGGAAATAGAACCCTGTTCGTGGCCAGTGGCAAAACACTTGGCCTTTCCTGTCTCGGTTGGGATAGTTTACATTTGTAGCAATGAGAGGAATTTTGGAGAAGGCACACCAGTATGAGGAGCATCTTTCTGTATCTGGCTGGTGCTGGTTTTTGGACTGGTGAGCATCATGCTTTCTGCAACAACATTGCGATGAACTTTAGCAAAAATCAAGTACTAGCTATCTGTAAAACATTTTAGAAATAGAAAATGCACCAGAGATTGGCTTCACTCTTTTACTATGAGAGAATTTGCACATGTTCCAAAAGCAACACATTGACTTATTTTTCAAACGATTTAAACGGTAGTTCAGCCTTTTTGTTGCCTTATTAAATGGCAGGTGCAGTTAGAATCAGATTAGTAGAGAGGGCTGTATTGCAGTCTCACCCAAATTTCTCAATTCAGCTTTTTGTGTGACCTAAGCAGAAGGGAAGAGCAAGAAAGAGCTCCTTGATTTTTCTCTTTAATTTGTTCTCTTCATTTTCACATACAATTTTACCTAACGGGTGAGATATTACATTGTAATCAGAACACTTAGGTTTTCTTGGCTAGTGAATTTGTGATACTGAGTCACGAAACACCTTTACTGGGTAACTAGAGGGTCTTGGATACCAAATGTGTTTGCTTTCATGAGTTAACTGTGCCATGAAACACATCAATGCATCTTGAGAACTCAATGTAAAGACAAAAATGTGGTCACTGGATACATTTTAGTGTTAACAGCCACTGTTCTAGAGCTAATTTATTTCCTGAGATTTTTCTCTTCTGAAAGGAATACTCAGAACAATAGCTCTGTTTCTCATCTTCTTATGGATTCCAAAGAAAATTCCAGGATTTAATAAAACCTATGTGTAGTAGGGATGTTGTAAATCAACGTGAGAAATTAGCCCTCTTGTAATAACACCACATTTTTCCTGCTTTAAAATTCATGATAAATATTAATTTGAACATCACTCCATTTAGTAGACATTAACTGATTTGGCATACACCTTTGAGGTACATTATAAATCAAATTTGTAGGCAAATTAGTTTATTGGAGGAGCTCTTTAAGTACTCAATGAATATTCTCTGAACATATTCAGTGATTTCCTCTAAGTATGTAAAGAATGGAAAAGACTCTAATCTGAGGTGAGGCTTTCATTTACTGCTGCCATGTCCTACTTAAAATCAGTAGTGTCTATCTCACAATAATGACTGTAGGAGGTTGAATTAATAGGAAAGATGTATGCAAATTAGATTACACTTTGCAGAATTCAAATCTTGTAAATGCCAGTGTAGTTTCAGAACTTGAGATGAAGGTCTTACATCAAGTTCAAGTCATTTATTTTGAGTCATCTGTTTATTGGCATAAATTCCCAGCCATTAATGTTGACCATACCATTAACAACCAAGTTGACCACAGTAGATGTTGACCATAATATTAACTAAGCATCTCAGTTCAATGTTGATTCTATAGGTGTGTTTAGGAAGAAAAAATACCCCCAAAACATTAGATTTTGTATATGACATTAATAACTTGGTTTATAAAATGATGGTTATACAGAAAAATAGTAAATAGTAGTCAAAGCTAATGCTTTGTTCCCTTTTGTACTACAGAAAGTTGCAATATGAAAATTTTACTCATGTTGTTAAAGGAATATTATCTTCAACACACTTAAGGAATATTATCTTCAACTCAGAGAAGTGGAAACATAGGTCTCTAAAATTACTCAAAAGCATCTCACCCCCTGACCATTTCCTTTGCTCTAATGAAAAATACTTAAAGGAATTTCTCAAATATTTTTACTACAAGAAGCCCAGTGCTTCTCTATAAGAGCTGCTTCTATATTCCTTTCATAGGCCCTTGAAACAGATCCAGGCAAGAACTGTTAGGTCAGTAGTGTTAATGTTTACAAGAATTCTGATGTACATATTCCTGAGTCTTGGCTGGTTTCACTTATAACTATTATCTGTTTTAGTCTTCTTTTCTATAGACCATGTCTACATATCATTTGGAATGTCTGGCATATAATTATATTGCTTATCATTACAATGGAGCAAAAGTAATGCCTCTAAATGGGTGACACTATCAAGTTGTCTAAATGTCCAAATTAACTAACTGCATCTAATTAATGTAGATAGCAATGCCTTCAATTGACTCTTAGAGATACAATAGATTGCTCAGAGATCAGCATATGAATAGGCATTGGAAAATCATGTAGAATTGATCCTTTATCCGATTCAGAACAATCAGCCACTTAAAGATTTTGCTATATACTAATCCACTGTGATATGCAGACAGGAAGAAAATAATAGATTTTACAAAGTGGAGCTCCTTGATGGTTTTATTCATAACTAACACATTTTTTTCCATGTGAAATTTGCTTTTGTTTTTCAACAAATCCAGGTCTTGGATGTTCAGGAAACTATAGATCGTCAGCAGGGTAAAGAGTATGAACATGACCTTAGTGAGACAGAAAAAGCTATAGTCAGAGAAATGTGCAATGTAAGTTTAATGTGCTTTATTGTGTATTCTGTGTTGAAGCCTCATCATAGCTAAGTCACTGCTTTATGAATAACTACTTTTTGAAGTATTGACCAAATGCTTTTGCATTTCTATATGAAAATAATATAATTTCTCATTGTTTAAATCTTTAGCCTATTTTATTGCAGTGTTATTAGTGCACTAGCATATTATAAACCATTTAGGCCGTAGATGATCATCTGGTTCTGTATTCCAGAATGATCAATGAAATTTTCTAAATATTAAACATACCATTTAAAATGTCATGGTATTAATTTTGATAAATGAGTTTCTTGTTCATAGTTTTTAAAAGTCCTTAAAAACGATTGGTTAAAGTACTATAATACAACAAAACACATCTTTTCCAGATTCATTTGTAACTATATAGGGAAAATCACCATCTTAATGGATAACATTTGTTTAGTCCTTCATACATGATGTATATGCTTTGTGTCATGCAAAGTATTATCGTTACCTTTTGGGGATTGGCACAAACTTAAAAGAATAAGAAGGTGAGATAGGCACAGGTGAACCTAAGAGTTAGTTAGAAATCCATCCACAAAGTCAGAGGGGGGGGGAAACACAGTGAAAAATCAGCATGTTATTTTTATGATGCATATCTTTATAATCATTAATATGATTTGGATTTTATTATTAATCCCTGACTAAATTTTAATTATTGGAGTAATATACATGAGATGCATCATTTAATCAAGAATAATAAGATTTGTGATGCTTATTAAAGAGCTAAATGGAATACTGTAGAAGAAAGCATTTGTTAAAAGCAAGAAATCATGGCAGATTATTTTAAGCATTGGTTTTAATTGACTTTATATTATACTTTTATCCTCATATTTTCTCTTCTTATGATTTAAAAATTACTTAGAAATACTCTTAGCTTTAAGTCTGTTATGACCAGGTAGTCGCAGACAATTACTTAATGAGGGTAAATAAAAATATATTGTTACTAGGGTTCCAGATCTTTCTGATTGATTTTAAACAGAACATGTCTCTGCGATCAGTGGATGGCTGCAGACAAATTATCTTAGTAATACACTTGTCTTAGTCTTATTAAAGTGGTTCTTCTTGTTGTTTTAAAGCCCAATCAAAGCTGTGGTTTCTGAGGGCATCTGCAGGATCAGTTCAATTCAAGGCAGAGAAGTCAGTTCAGAAAGTTATGGTAACTGCTATTTTTTGCAGTTCCAAAGGGGTAATCTGGATACACAACACAGGATGATCATGGGGCCTTATTGGGAAGAAGTTTTAAGAAAATAGAAAACTGCACTGGTAAGAAAAAGACTAGGAAAGGTGTGCTGAGAATGTATTTTCCCTTAACAACAATGCACCTGCTCCTTCTTCAAAGTTGCCAGTCCTATGAAGGGCTGTCCTATGAGAATTTCACTGGGAAACCTTAGCCCATCCACCTTACAGCCTTGATCTTGCCCCTTCAGATTTGTTTTTTTGTTCCCAGAATACAAGAAACATTGAAAAGGAACACAATTCCAGTCCCTCAGGCATGCCGAAACTGCTATTTTGATATGGTATATTATTTGGGAAAGGAGTCCTGGTGTGGCGCTGTGGGTTAATGTGCCAGACTGCAAAGCCCTTTGACCTGCAAGGTCGGTGGTTCAAGCTCACCAGCTGCTTCTCAGAAACCCTATACAGGGTCATTATGGGTCGGAATCGACTGGACAGCACTTCAAAACAGCAACAACATTATTTGGGAAAAGGTTGTTGTTGTCATGTGACGTGGAGTCGGTTTCGACTCATAGCTACCCGGCACAGGGTTTCCGAGGCTGTAAATCTCTATGGGAGCAGAACGCCTCATCTTTCTCCCGCGGAACAGCTGGTAGTTTCGAACTGCTGACCTTGCGGTTTGCAGCCCAATTCGTAACCACAAAGAGATGAAAATTCTGTCTTCAGAAGAGTACAGACCAAAATGAAGGAGGAGATGTCAAGAAACAACAGCTTCACATTTGTTTTTTTGTTTGTTTAATGTTCTTTTGTAGCAGTACTGTTTTTGACTCACTCTTGTATTTACCTCTTCAAGGAGTTTTCGGAATCTAGTAAATGTTACCTAATAAATCCTGTAGGTATTTTATATACATTAGGGTGAGATGTTTAGTCTTTTGCTTTGCTCGTTGTGTTGCTGTTTTGGGGTTTTCTTCCAACCCTTTCCAAGTTACTTGTTTTTCTCCATTTTCAAAAAGTCATCAGTTCTAAGTATCATAATTTTCTAAATGTACCACTGTTGACCTTCTGTAGATTTTTAACCCATCCTTAAGATTTTCAATTGGAATGTTTCCTGCGGTTTAATTAAACAGTTTGAGCCACACACCTAGTTTGCTACTTCTTATCTGTGGACTAAGGAATGAGAAAAGCATTTCTGACCATTCCCCCAGGGCTGCTCCCAGCTGTGCGTGGCACTCCCCAATGATTCTGTGGTGTAGTTCCACCCTAGGTCTCAGGCAATTTGGATATGAGCTCTTGGAAAGCAACCCCAATACTCTAATGTTCTGCAGAAGAAACGATTCAGAAAAATAAAAAATTACTTGCTCAAATTATTCAATAATGAAAAATAAAGTCTAGAGTGTGTCTAGCTCTCCCTTTTGAACAACTCTTTTCAGTTTTGCAACTTAGGAAAATTTGGAGGCTTCCGTTTTCAAGCCCAAAGAGCGTAAAACACTGTATTTTAGAGAGACATCCATTTCCATTGTGCCAGAACTGTTTTCTGTTTTGTGAGATGAAAGATTTCTAGATACTAAAAATTTTTATTTATTAATCACAGAAAAGACCAAACAATGGATTGGATCTAGATTAGTTTTATGTTAATCTTTTTTGTTTGCCTATATTTTCAAAAGAATGCTGCAAATGGCAACAGATAGTGGTGTGGTTGTTGTTTTCCCTATAATATCTTCAAAAAGTCAAAACCTTTTTATTTTAATTGTTAAAATTCTCTAAGGTACCGCCTGTGTTTATTTTCATCTTCCAACCCAAATCTCATCAGTATTCTTACGATTAGAAACAACTTAAACATCAAAAAGCAAGTGTTGATTTACACTAAAATTGATGTCGCCAATATGGATGATATGAACACAGCAAACTGTGAACACTGGAATAAGGAAAAATGTGAACTGCAATATAGTTTCATAGCTAAATTTTTAGAAACTAAGATTATAAAGCCTCGGTTCCTACTAGAGGAACACTAGGTTTTTATAGTAATGACACAAAAATGTAGCAAATCTCATGAAGTGCGACAGGTTATAAAACTCATGTTGATTTTAGGATAATAGACATTTTGCCATGGATTCTGGTTCTCCACCTAGAGAGAAATTGTTGACATTCTTAAGATAAAAAGAGTATTATCCACAGTTCCATGAATCATGTTGGCTGGTAAGCATGATGTGCTTTTTATTCTCTTCCCAAACTGTGGTACAGACACAAACCCACTGCCCTCTATGAGATGATAACCCTATTTGTAGTGAAATTGCAGTACTGGTTTTGTTTAGGTGTGGCTATTCAACTCATGCAGATTCTCTGAGGAGAGTTGTGACATTTGTCTGTTCATTCCACCCACATCTCAAAAACAACCTATTATGATTTTTTTTGGTCACCAAAGCGCAATGCTATCTTAGTATAATTTGCTTATCCCAGGGTTCTGTCTTCTTTAAAAGTTTCTTTTAACTATCTAGTAGTATCTAAGGAACTCTTGTAGTGTAGTGGTTATGAGTTGGGCTGCTAATCTCAAGGTCAGCAGTTCGAAACGGCCAGTGGTTCCATGGAAGAAAGATGAGGCTTTCTGCTCCTATAAAGGTTTATAGCCTTGTAAACCCTATGCAAGGTCGCTGTGAGTCAGAACTGACTCCATGGCACATCGCCACCATGACCATATAGTTTATCTAGATTAAGGCTCATTATGTATAATATTTGAATACTTGAAGAGCAATTGTACTTTTGAGCTGTAGCTATTTAATGCTGTATCTATGATCCTTGAGAGGCCTTTAAATTCTACTTTTACTTGTAGACCCGACCACACTCAGAGTATCTTGGGTAGATATTTAAGGACTAGAAATTGAAAAGTACCATTTCAGGATCAGAAAGGAAAAGTCTTAAGCATTACGTGGCTTCCTAATATGATGTTTGTACCACTCCAAATTCAGTGTACCAAAAAATGAGGCTTTTCTAACTTTCTGTGTCCAGCTTGAGCTGTACATTGCTATATAATTCATTTCCAAATATTTAGGAACCATAATTTCAACTTCCTCCAGATGCACCAGAGCATCTCTCCCCATTACAGTGCCTGCTGAAATATAGAAGCTAGTAGTTGCATTTGCTAAGAAATGCAGATAGACAAGAATCCTGCATTCTTATTTTAGTACTCTGGATTATCCTGGTGTATCCTTTTCTATTTAAAGCAAAAGCAAAACAAACAAAGCCTATAAATAATTAATGAACCAAACAGTTTTGTGTTCATGTTGTATTCATGTTTGAGCAATTTTTATGGGATGAATCAATCTGAACATAAATCTTACAGTGAGACACTCCAGAAGACTTACATCTGGATAGGAGTGTGTGTGTGTGTGTTTGCTCGAGCATGTGTGTATTCCAATTAATGTTAGTATATCTGGTGTATTATTGATGTCAGTGGTTTTTATTATTATCCTTATATTATTTATTTTGACCTAATGCAATTGACTCTCTAAAATGGCCCAATATTTAGCATGCTGCTATTGCATCTCTTTCAATGACTCATAAAACTATGCTTATCTTTGCCCTGGATTTGGTGATCATGCTATTTGATGGCAAAGTTTTGTGGCTACCATTTTTCAGGGAAATCCACTATCCCTCTCAGTACTGACTAGTGACCCTAATGCTACCCACCCATGACTTAACTTTAGCACAAGAACAAAAGCTCCTTCATTTTCCTCAGTATATTAAATCATTGGACATCCTTGTTTTAGATATACCTCGGGAATTTCTCATCCTGGCTACACACTATAATCACCTTGAGAGCTTTTTTAAAATACAGATGCACAGGGCTCACTTCACCAAAGAAATCAAAGTCTCTGAGGTTGGCATTTACTGTCGAAGAGCTCACCAAATGCAGCCAGAGTTGATGGCCACCAATCTGACTAGAGGAAGTTGGCATATCACTCATTAATTTTGGCCCTGGTTGCTAATAGGACATAGTAGTCTCATGTCTAGAGCAATTCTGATGAACCAGAAACTTGTCATCACATTTTGTTTTGTCTTTGCACTTATTCGTGTGTATATTTTGTCTCTTGTCTTCATGTTCCTCTTTCTCATAGTTTGCCCTAATGATATCACAAGTGTCCTAACATATCACACATCTCTTTCTGAAAGGTAACAATTACAATGCTTATTTTTCGTCTTTTTTTTGAAGGTTGTGTGGAGGAAACTTGGAGATGCTGCAGGTTCGTGTCCTGGAATTAGGCAACATTTGTCAGGAAATCAATACAAAGGACCGATGTGAGAAGCACTCTCCTTTAGACATGAGATCATCACTGCCAGAGAGAGAGAAACCAGAAGAAGAAGGAAAGATTGGAGTTCCACGAACCTGGACTCATGAAATAACACGGAATGATTGTACATTACACATATTGCCCCTCTAAAACCTTTAGTAAACGTCCCCCATTAAGCTGGTATTTTGTGTCTCTCACTTCTATGTCCATGACTGTTGATCTCAACTTAGATTTGAAAATCTCCTCTTTCTTGCCAATATGTTCATTAGAACTAAGAGGTTTCTGACTCCCCAGATTGAAGACTTTAACTGGGAATCCTGCTTGGTTGGGAGAGGCCCAACCTCAATAGTTATGATAGGTTTATGTCATTGCATATATGGTGGAAGCTTTCTACCATAGTGCATGAGTGATAGGAAGGAATTTCTTCCATTTCCTACAGTTTCAGTTAGACACCTGTCTTTTATACTTCACTCTACAATATAGTACTTCCTGATACATCATTAATTTGAAAGGGAGATAAGTTTGGGTTTCTGGATGTATTGTTTTGACTTTTGAGGTGCTAAAAATATCACATATATTCTCCTTACCAGCTAGAAGAGTAAAGATGGTATAGAATGCTTACTAGAGAGCTACCATTTATTTCAACTGATCACAATAAATATATCTTTTATTTTCTTTTAATTTTGATGAATATACTCATAAAACTTACCTTGAGGACATATCAACCTCCAGTTTGATTTAATGTGTCCATTGATGTTAATATTAACAATGTCAACTAAAAATTAAGCAAACGTAATTTTTCTAAATGTTTCCAGCTGTGAGATGTAAATTTCTACAATTTTGTTTCTAGATATGCTCTTATATTTAATAAACTTTAAAATATTGCACTGCATTTATGAATAAAAGCTTTCTTTGCCTACAGCAGCTATCTAACATTTTATGAAACTGACGCATGACCTTCATTATTGAGGCTAAAAGCTCTTCAGATTGCTTGAGGTTTGAAAACAGAGGTGTGCTAGTTTTGCTTAGTTTATTTCTTATTTTTGGTATATATGTAATACTAGACTGTGTGTACTATAACGCTATGATAGCTATTTTGTGTTTATCCAAATGCAATGATAGTTTCTTGTATGGATGTGCAAGAGGCCTGTGGCAGAATGCTGTTGAGTTTTTACTGTAGTTTAAGATTATACACGTAGGAATGCAACAATTCTGAGTTTTCAGATTTCTTCTAAATTACTCAGATTTGATTCATAGCATATATTCTCTGTGGTTGTTGATGATGTTTTAAAAAATGAACTTAATACAAAATGTAAGAATTAACATTGGTGGAGGACTGTAAAGGAATTGTGTCATACTTTAGTAACATGTTACTGTGATGAAAAACCAGCCCTCTCTTCTCAGAAAATATTTATGAATTACTTTACTTTAGAATTATCTCACTATTGTAATTGGGTTTCTACTTATGTCAATCTTTCTTTTAAAATGTCATATATTTTTTAAATGTTATTACACTGTAAAAGAAAATTGCTTGCAATATTAATGCTTTCTCTCACAGAAAAGCTTCATCCTTAAATTGTTGTATTCCTATACGCAGAAGAAATTAAAAACAAGATTTTGTGCCTGCAGCAGAGCCTGCAGAAGCTAAGGCAAGGGACTCTGGTCTTTTGACAAAATAGTTGTGTAAATTTTGATACTGTATTAAAACTATTTTTTTAAAGTTCTGCATAAAATTGAGTATCAAGTATATGTGTTCATCTTAGCAATGGTAATAAATTATTTAATCTCACGGCATTGTTGTTTTTCCTTCTTCAAAATGTTTTTCCTAAATTGAGTAGATTCCCAACTAGTCACTGGCTGTGTTAATGCTCCTATATAATGCTAATGATAACGATAGTACAGTTGATTCCTGTTATTAAATATAAAATAAAGGCATATTTTAATATAAGAGCCCTGGTGGTAAAATGGTTAAAACACTTGGCTGCTAACTGAAAGGTCAGTGGTTCAAACCCACCAGATATTCTGTGGAAGGAAAGATCTGGCAGCCTGTTCCTATGAAACAGTTGTACTCTGGCTTATAGGATAAATATAAGTCAGAATCAAGCACACAACATCAGCACATAAAAAGATCTAATATTCAGAGATTCCTCAATTCATGCCCTTGTCCATTATAAAGTAGCTTAACTTTTAGAATGGTATTTAAGAATCTTTAAATTAATAGGTTAGTTTTTAAAAAATAACATTTTCACTTGTTCTTGCAATTTGTATAGATTCCATTTGATTTATCATTATTAAATTATTTCTATTATTATTAAAACAGTCTTCCAAAGGAAAGCTAATGTTTAAGAAATGGAAAACCTAGCCTTTGTATTTAAGAAGCTTGCACATTCTTGGGGGAAGGTAGAACATGACCAAGACATAGGAATATTCATAGGAAATACATGCTTGCTTGAACACACACATTTCTTAGAAAATATTGGTAAGACTGTAATGAGACTGCTTAGATTTAATGAATATTAACCCCAACTGTAGATGACAGAGCCTGAATCTTATGACTGTTCAATGCATTTTCAATCACAATGAGTGGCATTATTCTCTTAGGTGACCATTTTAATAGTTTCTGAACTCGTTTTCCCAGGACAAGGGTTAATTTACTATTAATGGCAGAATATTTTAACAGCCTTTATGTTGAGAGACTGATGAGCAGACTCTAAGCTTTTTAAATGAATGCATCTTAACTCTCTAGTACATGCTCGAGGTATTGTAGAAAATGCAGATCAATTTATGTGATATCTTGCAAAATGCTCAGTATTAATGATTGCTTAATTCGGTGAACCTTTAACGCATCTTCAATTACCACTACCATAAGGACCTCTGGTAACACAGTGGTTATGAGTCAGGCTGCTAACCTTAAGGTCAGCAGTTCTAAACTAAATATGAGGCTTTTTACTCCCGTAAAGATTTACAGCCTTGGAAACCTTATGCAGGGTTGCTGAGTCAGAACAGACTCCATGGCACATAACCACCACCACATCAATAGGAGCCCTGGTAGCATTGTGGGTAATGAGTTGGGCTGTTAACCAAAATGTCAGAAGTTCAAGTCTACCAGCTGCTCTGCAAGAGAAACATGAGGTTTTCTGTTCCCATGAAGATTTACAGCCTCGGAAACCCTATTCAGGGTCGCTGTAAGTTGGAACTGACTCCACAGCACATAACTACCACCACCGCCATATGAATAAACTTGGTGCTGGTCTCTGCTTACTCTTAAAACATAGTATCTTGGATACTAAGTATCTTGAATGTCAACTGGGGCTTCCTTTGCTTTTCACATCTAGCTATGACTGCCTCAAGTATCCAATTTCATGATCTGAGAATGACGTAAACAACCTAACGACTTCAACCAACATCCAGAGTTGCAAGCTTGTGGTAAGCATTCCTGTTTCCTTTACCTTGGGACAAACTGGTTTCTCTCTTGGATACCATGACATCCATTCTTAAAAAAGGATATGCTTATGCCTACTTCAGATTGGCTTATCAAGGTAGATTCCCAACAAGCACAGAACACCTCTATGAGAATAGAAAATTTAGAGGAGGGGCTTAATGGATCAGGGAGAAGTGCAGTGAGGCTCTCCTTCAACAATAACACAGAATACCGGACAAAGCAGGTTCTGGGGATGGTCCCAGAACTCTGAACCACATATAAAGGAATATTTAGAAAGTCTGAAGGCTTATAGCCGGTGGAATTTGTAGAGGAAGCAAGAAATCTAGTGTTTTCGGGGAGCCGCCGGGCTCAGAAGCAGCGGAAGCGGCCATTTTGGACAAGACGGAGCAGAGGAAGGATCAGAGCTGCCAAGGATGCCTGACCTGGATTCTCGGACATAAAGGTGTGGATTTTTTTTTTTTTTTTTTTCTGTTCATTGGTCTCTCACTGTCTGTGCACCTCCAGTCTAGTGACTAGAGAGGGTCCGTGAGTGAGCAGGCACCCCTCCTCAGGGTTCTACTATGCATGCGCACAGATCTGCTCATCAGAATTTAAAGGGAAAGGCCCTGCTTAAAACCAAACAGCAGCACAAAATGGCCACAGCTGGGCCTGAACTGTTTATCACTAGGAAAATATACTGAACAGGGGTTGTGGAGTGGGAGACACACAGACTAAAGAGGAAACTAGTGAATAGACAGCAAAGAGATGGAGGGTTGGTAATGGAAGCAAAGCAGAAAGAAAACTGTATGGTCTCAGTGACTTATCTGTCCTATCATAAACCCATCCCTGCCTGACCTAGATTCTTACAGAGGGAAAAACACAAACAGCTGGGACCATACTTGACACTGGTCTGTAGAATCAAAGGTCAGAGAAACACTGACCCTTTTACTGCTATAGGTGTACTGGTGTGGCGCTATGGGTTAATGCGTCAGACTGTAAAGCTGTTTAACCTGCAATGTTGGCGGTTCCAGCTCACCAGCTGCTCCTCGGAAACCCTATACAGGGTCGCTATGGGTCGGAATTGACTCCATGGCACTTAACAACAACATACTGCTATAAGAATGCCTAGTGTAGCACTGTAGGATCAGTACTAGACTGTGAACCACAAGGTTAGCAGTTCAAACCCACCAGTGGCTCCTAGGAAACCCTAGACAGGGTTGTTATGAGTCTGAACTGACTTGACAGCACTTAACAACAACAATGCTGCTATGAAACGATGTTCCTTGTCAGAATATGAATCTGTTGTCATGGCAATTATGAGGTTATTTATGTGTTATATGCTATCATTTCTGAATAGAATCTAGAAAAGCAAAAACACTGGGATAGAAAAGGAAAACCTGTTTGGAAGTAAGGCCAAATGAAATGATCACTCAGACATCAAAATGATGGAAAACGCAATTAAATCCTGAGTTATGTCCTAATGACCAACAGTGGCATCTTGAAATTTCTCAGGCAGGCTTGAAGGCCAAAAGCTGAGAGAGGGACATTAAAGTTATACTCATATTTGGCTACAGATTTTTTTCCCCCCTT